ATATATATAATAAGTAGAACCGCTCAGTGCATGGGCAGAGCCGAGGAGTCGCTTTCTGCCCGGAGTTGCGGGTCGGGGTCAAGTTGCGGTTGTCTTGGAGAGTCATGCCACTCGCACTCATTCGGTGCTTTCTGGTGCATTTGATTGCCAGTTATTTATATCCTCAGCCGTTGAGTGCATACGTTTTTCTCATCGTTTTTTTATCGCACACTATCCAGATCCGTTCGGTTCTTATTTGCGTCATCAAACGGAATACGTTTTCCCATGGCGTTCACGCATTGGCGGCGTTTAATGAAACACACGACTTTCTCTCCGGCGCAGATCTGCTGACTGTCGAGACGGGCGAACAGGTACTTAAAAGCATCTGTGTTAGTAACCATAGTAACCAGACATTACTTCAACACGCACATGTATTACTAACCATAGTAGCCAGACATTACTTAAACAGCACATGTGTTAGTAACCATAGTAACCAGACATTACTTAAACACGCACATGTGTTAGTAACCATAGTGACCAGACATTACTTAAAACACGCACATGTGTTAGTAACCATAGTAACCAGACATTACTTAAACTGCACATGTGTTAGTAACCATAGCAACCAGATTTTCACGCTTACACGTGTGCTGATCATTGCACCTGTGCAAATGCCGTGTGTCCCTACTTCACGCATGCACGTATGAACGAATACCTCAAGTCTCACCCACAGGCACTCAATTGGTACAGTGCCCACTGTCAGTGTAGAGGGCCGTCTCTCTTTGTGGCACTGTTTGACCATCGCCTGCACCTATGCTTACACACCCCACACTCCCTTTGTATCGGCAACGTCAGCCACCCACCACGCTGTGTGTCATGTACTCAACCGTTGTTTGCTGTGGTGTTGGTCTGTTGTTGCAGGAGTTTCGCTTCCATTTCTCGCCAGATGTGTTCCTGCCATCTTTTTATTCCTCTATTGGGTCTATCAAATGGTCGTTGGCTGCACTGGCCACTCTCAGCGATGGTCGCGTGTTCAGGTGGGTACTGGTGCGTGTTCCAATGCACACTTTGTGGTGTATATAAGTTTGAATTTATGTTCG